CCAAGTCTGAATGTTGTGGTGGTCTTGAGATAACAAGGTGTAGAGCTGGATGAACACAGAAGGCCAAGCAGCATCAGAGGAGCAGGAAAGCTGACGCTTGGGGTCTGGACCCTTCTTCAGAAAAAAATGATGGTCTTATTGCCCATGGGACTAGAACTGCTTAAGTAAATGAGAAGACTGAATGGTGCTGAATACTATGTAGTTAGAGTTATAGCAAAGTGGTTGACTCATAAATGCTCTCTGAAATTATCTAACAAGTCCTCAGTTGCACCAAACCACTACAAAGTACTGTGACTGATAAGCCCCCGCAATTATTGTTATCGCCTCCCTGTGTTCTCTGATTATTTCTTCTCTCAACCTTGAGCAGATGTGTGCACACACTAAAACCTCTATAGCACATTCTTCCTTTACATGCTTGGAATTAACAGTGCCCTTTACAATTTACAGCTGTCTATTTTGGATATACAGTGCATGGACGTCTATCAAGTGGAGCCCGGTTAAAATGTTAACTAAAATAATGTTCAGTATGGATGACATGAATGGTCAGCACTATGGCATGTGGGCAGATCTGTAACAGTTTCTAAAACTGCTTCTAAATAGATTATTTTGCCTCTCTCAATAAATTGGCTGTGTTTGTGCAATTGCTTGTGCTTCATCTGATCTTAAAAAGAAAAGTAGAAAATAATATGGTTGGTGCAGGCAAAGGGTGATAAAAAAAAATTGCGATAATTCAGGTTGGAGGTGAGAAGAAGGTAATAAGAGAGATAAGCGGAAGCAATGGTCTAGTGCTATTATCGCTAGACTGTTAATCCAGCGACCCAGGTCATGTTTTGGAGACCTGGGATCAAATCCCACTGTGGCAGATGGTGGGATTTGAATTCAATTAATATATTGAATTAACAGTCTCAATGATGACTGTGAACCCATTGTCAACAATCAGAAAAACCCATCCAGTTTACTAGTGTCCTTTAGGGAAGGAAACTGCCATCCTTACCTGGTCTGGCCTGCATGTGACTCCAACAATGTGGTTGACTCTTATCTGCCTCTGGGTTATGAATGCTGGCCTAGTGACCATTGCCCTTATCCCATGAATGAATTAAAAAAAAACATCTATTTGCAGTCAATATTCACTGTGTTCCTTGAGAGTCCATTGCCTAATGTTTAAAAATTAGTGGGGAGTCTGATTCTTATCACTGACATATCACCATGTAAGAATATAGGAAGATACAAACAGCAGTAAGCCATTCAGCCTGCTGAGCCTACTCTGCCATTCAGCACAATCATGGTTGATCAGGCACTTCAATGCCTTTACTCACATTTTCTGCATAACAATTGGCAAACAAAAACTTATCAAAACAACAAAAACAGAAGTTGCTGGAAAAGCTCAGCAGGTCTGGCAGCATTTGGGAAGAAAAAAATCAGAGTTAACGTTTCGGGTCCGGTAACCTTTCCTCAAAACTGATTGTAGCATATAAACATCAGTTTATATGCAGAAAATAGGGAGGGGGTGGGGTAGGGCGTAAACAATAGGATAAAGGATAGAGCCCGTAGTAGAGGAGAGCAGATGGATAGACAAAGGAATTGATAACGATCTGACTAGGAGGGTGAATAGCTGTTAATGGGGATTGTTAGTGACTAACAATGGGCAGTGTGTAATGGCAGGCTATGTGGTAATGAGGCCTGGTGTGTGGGGTAGGGGGCTGGGACATGGGAGAGTTTAGGCCCTAAAATTATTGAACTCAATATTGAGTTTGGAGGGCTGCGGGGTCACCTAGCGGAAAATGAGGTGTTGTTCTTCCAGCTTGCATTGAGCTTCACTTGAACATTGCAGCAAACCAAAGACAGAGATGTTGGCCAGGGAGCAGGATGGTGTGTTAATGTGGCAGGCAACTGGAAGCTCAGAGTCTTTTCTGCGGGTAGAACGTACATGTTCTGTGAAGCGGTCACCCAGTTTTTACTTCATTTCCCCAATATAGAGGAGACCACATTGTGAGCAGTGAATGCAGTAGACTAGATTCTGGGAAGCGCAGGTGAAGTGTTGCTAAAAACTTATCAACCTCTATTGAAAGACTGAGCTTCCACAGGTCTCTGGGCTAGAAACATCTAAGCATTCACCATGGTCTGGGTAAAAAGAAACATTCCCCTCAACTCTTTCACAAGTGGCATCCCCCTTATTTTTAAATTGTACCCCTTGCGTCAAGACTCCCCAGCCAGGGGAAATGTCTTAGGTGCAGCTAATCTGCCTATCCCTTTAAGTACTTTGTAAGTTTCAATGAGATCACATCCCATTAGATGAAGAGACCAAAACTGCACTTTCCTCCAAATATGGACTAATCAATTATCTCTTATATCTTACTGTACGCTCACTATTTGCTCTCAAGATAGGTATTATTCTAAATTTCAATACATGAGTATTATCTATGGATATCAACAAGGTTTTTGAATCAGTTAAAGTGTATGGAGAATGGAGGTTGGAAGGACAACAAGCAAATAAAGAAATAATTCAGCTTGGAGGTGATGAAGGCTGACGCAAGGCTAGAGACAAGAAGCTGAACCTTTTTTGGCTAAGTGGGAGTTGTGACTTTTTTTTAGTGGGTTTCTCTTCATGAGGCCTACTGACTTTTCTCACCCTATCTCACCAGTCACCTCATCAACTGCCTACCCATTCCCTATGATGTCCCTCATGTCTGATTCCATTCCCATCTTATCATGAGACATTCCTGAAACAATCCATTTTCTGTTGGGATATCCCCGAAGTTACTGGTATCCCTTGTACCAGTGCCAATTCTAAACACCTGTTGTAGACCCAGAGCACCACTATCAATCCAGAGTTTCCCTACACAGTTCCTGAAATTTACCCAGGACATAGCAGACGGGGGAAATCCATAAACTGTTGGACAGGGGGATGCAAAGGCAGGAGTTCTTCTTTCCCTGAGCCCAGCAATACAGGCATGGCACCATACCGTGCTAGCCTTGTCTCACGTTGACACCCGAGTTAAAGCAGTCTCAGTTGTCCAGAGGAATTCCCAGCACTGTAGGTTGAAGATCAATATCCTTCTCTACTCTAACAGCGTATGTACCGCAATGTTTCGCCAATACCTTACACTTCTCTATCTCTGCTACTGTGACCACCTCCCACCAAGGCTTATATTCTGCCACTGTCACTTTTGCCTGCAACATCTTGCCTCGCTCATTGTCACCTTCCCAAACCTTGACACCATGAATCCGGTGTATTCTTTGTGCTGCGTATTCACTTGCATGGGACACCTCCTCAACTAGATGGAAAGCAACATCTGTGCCACTAATTTCACTTCCATAATATCAGCCTTTCTCTCATCCCAGCAGGAAAATAGGGCAGAAAGAGTCAAGACTGCTGTCTAACATTCAGCTCCATCCCATTCTGGGTCTGACTTCCCCATGTGTCTGACTGACTGTCTGGGGTCAAGCCTCTGGACTGGTATTGGGGGCTGCTCTTAACTGACAGTGCCAGGGCATAATGTGACTGCATCAGAGATATGACATGAGTGTCCCTAGAAGCTGATACATGTTGGATGCCAATGTCTGTGAATGTGGGATGCTTGTGGCTGGTACTCATGCAGCATACCCTGAGATATTGGTGCTCAGAATGTAGAATGGACGAAGTAGCAAGCTGAAGTAATCAGGTTCCCGATCTGATTTCCATGTTGAGATTTCTTGAGCTAGGATGGTCAGGTCATTGGGGTAGCTAAGTATTAATGATGTGTTTAACAAGCTTCTATCCTACTTAATTGTCAACTTGCTGCTGCTTAGTGAGCACCTCCTCACGCAGTTTGTAAAAAGAAGATACAAAATTCTCCTGATATCAAGATGGGCCTTGCTGGACATCTCAAGTGATTCTGTCACAAATCTTGCCACAGCTCACATTGATCAGACCCCCATAAGATTCCACCCAAGATATTGTTGGAAAGAATTACCTAGATCTGAGCACAATCCAGGAATACAAGAATAAAAAAGACCAGCATCCAAACCATGAAACTGATACATTTTTATAAGAACTCATCTGATTCCCTTATGTTCTTTAGGGAAAGAAATTTGCCCTCCTTACCTGGTCTGGCCCCCATCTGACTCCAGATTCATAGTAATTTGGTTCACTCGTATTTCCCCTCTAGCAAGTAATCTCTAACTGCTCCAGAAAAAATTGGCCAAGTTGAAAACCAGATGCACCATCCAACAATGACACAGGCACCAGAAACTGACCCCGAGGGAAGATGAAGTCCTGCACTACCCATCTAGCAGGACTTGTAGGTCTCTGTCTGCAAAAGTGGGCAACCATTGTCCCCTTATCTACCATATTCATATTGATACTGAAGTTAGGCTCCATTGTATAGTGTGAGACTACAAATGTTCTAAATGGGAGAGATTCTGAACACATCTAGCAGCTCAATGCTCTGCATTGTGGAGAGACAAGACCCGCAAGGAAAATGTGTAACATCATGGCCTGAATATTCCTCACTCTATCATTATGATTAAACTAGGGGATCAACCCTGCTTCAGTGATAAGTACAGAAATTGTACCAGGAGCAGCACCAAATGTGCCGAAAAATTAGGTGTCAACCTTGAAACTGTAAAACAGGAACATATGCATGATCAAGAGCATGCACTAGTCTGAGTGAAGCAATCCCATTAACAATCAGATCACATAGTCTACAGATCTTCTAAATCCTGTCATGAATAGTGGTGGGCAATTAAACAGTTGACTGGAAGATTCTCCACAAACATCTCCAACTTCACTGAAATCTCGAGTCTTGCGTGTGACAGTAGACACGATACTTGTCTACGTAGGGTTGAACTTCAAGCCCATTTTAATCCATTCCCTAGATGATGACGTGTTATCTTCAAGATCATTTATTGTTAATTATGACCTTTTCTTGGGAAATTTGTACTTGTTCTGAAGAAGTTAATCAATATTTTGCAGTTTTCTTGGAAATTTGTTTGTCTTACACGTTCATAAAATTACTTACCACCTTTCCTTCTCCGTTGACAACATCTTAGAGTGCAGTAAATCACGAGAATTATAACGACGGTTGCCAATGTTATTGCTCCTGCTAGTATCATAATTTCATAATACTTAATAGATTTGGCTTCTTTTTCTGTAAGTAAAAAGGAATAAGGGAAATATGAATAATATCCTTACAGGCATACAGTAAAATGTAACAGTATTCATTCCCTGACAGAAATGTAACACTGTAATTGCGATAAGATTATAATATAAAATGATACTGAAACATTTTATTTAGGTAATATACAAGTATATATGGAAATAATTTTTGTTATAAAAATATTACAATGTATGATTGACTTAATCTTCAAATTCCAGCTAGTCTTAACAAAACAATAAAGGGCCTAAAACAGTTCCCTGTTTACCCCAGCAATAAGTTTGTTAAAGGCTTCACCAGTGGAGTTCGATCTTAGTGAGATAGTTAGAAAGATAATTACAAATTTACGGGGCACATGCAGACTCTCATGAGAATTACTTTTTATGCAGAGCCAGAAAGAGTAGTGTTTCTCCTTTGGACTTCAAAAAGTTACAGCAGTCATCCTCACTTGACTTTGGAATCATGCACCACCTCCCCCTCCCCCAACTCACCACATCAGCCTGGAGGCCTTGATAAATATAGCTCAACACTTCTGAGCTGGAAGATGCATCAGGAAGCATCAGAGTTGGCATTGGCAGCTCACCTGCCAAACTGAAATGAGGCCTGGGCCAGATAATTACGTGTAGTGATTGTAATGAGATCAGCCAGGTGGATACATAGAATATGAGTTTCCTGATTGGGGATGTTAATCTGGTCCAATCAAAGGGCACTGGCTGACAGATATAAATAGCAGTGTCAGAGGTTCTGTTCACTCTGACAGCTGGCTCTAAGAAAGCTGGAGCAGTGTCAAAGACTCTTGACGTCTAAGTAAAGGGTGACTTATGACGGGATACCAGCCTCTCTGGAATTATTTCAGTAGGCAACCAGCAAAGTCAAAATTAGCCTCAGTGAGTGATGATAGAATCTGAATGTACACCCAATTTCATCAAAGGGAATGGCCATGTCCTCTCAATTAGCGCCAGGAGTGTGTGTGATAAAGCAAGGAGAAACTGAAAAAGTAAGATCAATGTACATTATACGTTGAATTTCAATATTAAATTAATGTAGACTGACATTGCTGCCAAAAGCCTTCACGAAGTGATTACAACCAAATGCCAGTGTGAGAATGATGAACTTCTTCATTGACAACAGGTTATTTAACCAAAGATTTCAAATGGAATTTTGATTGATGTTTCGTGTTTGATGTCAGCTTTTATTTCAATTAGAGGAATTTGGGAAAGTCAATGTTTGTTGCCAGTTCTTAACCAGCTTGAGACAGTGATGACGAGCACATCAATGGAAACAAGAAAAAGGCAAGTTCTTTCATCAGTTGTCATTAAATTAAAAATTTATTCTGATTTATTGATTAAGAATTTCTGGCCAATTTATCAGAGATTTAATAAGTTTCATTTTATATCCGTTCAATCTGATGTTACACGCTATCACATTTCCTATTCAACCTAGAGTTACTTATTTGGAAGTTTGTGAAATTAATTTTACCTGATTTACTGATCAGGAACCAAATTAATTTAAATTCTATAATAATCAATTGAAGCTGAAAGTACAGAAACCAGTTCTCTCAGTTTCCCATTATCAAACAATAGTCATAAAGACTGATGCAAGAAGAAACCTGCAATCACTGTAAAGTATTAAGTTACATTTACCTGAGCAGTTAATCACACTTGAAATATCAGCTTTGCTAATTTTGTTGCTAACATTGCAAAAAATTTTCGCATCTTCAGTCTCCTTCAAGGATCGTACTGCAGTCAAATATCGATAATTGCTTGATTCATTCAATGAGTTGCCAAGTAAGTTCATGGTGACATGAGTTCCATTCTCCACTTTACAGGTTATATTGACTTCCTTTCGAGAGTTACATTTAATATCCAAAACTGGCTTTGAGACGCTCTCTGAAATAAATAAAGAAATTTCCACATTGAACAAGTAGCCTACAACAGGAACAATAATAATACCATTCACGTAGCCAACATCATGCAGTAGAATATAAAGGCTCTTCTCAGGAATATTTCTAAATAAAAATTGACACTGAGCCACATAAGTAGAGAATTGGTTAGATGATTATTGCTTATTCAGTCAGATCAGTATTTTGGAGTGTCTTACAGGAGAAGAGGAAGTTACAGATTTGGAGAATATATGTCCCTCACAATAGTGGAGTGATTCAAAGGTGACTAGAATTGGGGGAGTGCAAAGATTCCAGAGGATGCATAGAGGGGAATTATTACACCAAAGAAAAGGATTATAGGACTGGAGTAAAAGGAAAAAGAATTTCAGGGCATAGATATAAAATCATCTGCAAAGAAAGCAAGGGTGATGCAAGAAAAAGCTTTTTCACTACAAGTGGAATGCACTGCCTGGAAATGTGGTGGAGGCAGGTTCAATTGAGGCATTCGTGAGGGCACTGGATAATAATTTGGATAGAAATAGCACGCAAGGACATGGGAACAAGACAGGAAATTGACACCAGGTCATGGAACCAGTAATAGAACAAAGATACGGTTAACAAATGAAGGAATAAGAAGCCAACGTGCACAAAGTAAAAGAAGTGACAAAAGCTTTGGTCAGTTTTAAGGAGAATTTTAGAGGAGCATAAGGAAATACGGTGGCTGAGGGAATTAGACAATGGAAGGCATCAACATCAATGGTGGGTGAGTGGGATGCATCAGTCCATATAAGGTCAGAGTCAGAGGAACAAAGACTCGGAGTAGCATCAGACAATTGTAATAATTGTAATAATAACAAGGACATATAGAAACTTAAACAGAAGAATATGAAATATAAAATGCAGTTGTTGGGCAACAGGAACCATTGTAAGTGCACAAGCTCAGAGGGGCAGAAAACGATATGGAAAGCAATGTTTCGGGTGAGCAAAGGTTACTTAGAGTGGACTGGATGCACACTACGAGTGAAATGGAATCATTGAGGTAACAAAGGCAAGGATGAAAGTTTCAGCATCAATAAAGTTATCATAAGGGTGGAGGAAGCAATCATGAAAGTGGAAAAATGTGATCTGGGGACAGAAGCTCAGGTTGGAACCTGAGGGGGGCGGCATGGTGACTCAGTGGTTAGCGCTGTTTTCTCACAGGGTCAGGAGCCTGAGTTAGATTCCATCCTTGAGTGACTGTGTTTTGATGATATAATGGCGTTAAGAGGTGTAATTTGTCCTTTTTTTAAAGAGAGGTAATAAGGCCGAAGTGCCAAGCAGCCAACTCAGAGACATTAGAACAAACGGTTTACGAGACCTTGGGCTTTTGTTTTAATAGTTGGATCGAAATAAGCAGCATGAATGGGTATGGTCAAGCTCCCACAGAACCAGGATTTTTAGTTTTTAGTTTTCAGTTGAAGTTGGGTCTTGAAGCTGGGTGGAAGCTGCAGTACATCACTCCCTGCTACAGTCTCTCTCCTCTCTCTCTCTTTCTGAGTTTTCTCTTAATGTTTTTCCTCCTAGACTGGAGAATTGCCTGTGAGGTAATCTATTTTTTTAAACTTGCCTTTTGCCAAAGGAGTGTTTATGGGATGATACTAAATTGGAACAGTTAATTAGTAGTTAATAATCTAGTACTCTGTTAAGTTTCCCAATATGGATAAGTTATTCCAATTTCTTCTTTCTTTTGTTGTATTTTAACTGTAGTGTATGAATAAATTGTGTTTTACTTCAAATCTAGTAGTTTGGCCAGTTGAATTGCATCCAGAAAGTAGTGCCTTTAAAATAAAAAAAATTAGGGTCTAGGCTCCCTACTTAATATATTTTGAGGGAGTTTGGGCTGATCCATAACAAACTGGGGGCTTGTCCAGTATCAAAAATCTCTAATTCCAGGTTGGTTTAGGATTGTTTGACTCAAAGGCAGCGAGTGGTAAGTGTTAGTATCTTTTATTTTGGGTTTTGAATTCAGTTGGTTTAAACATGATATACCTTGTGTAATAAAAGCTTTTGGAATTGGCAAACAAGCTGGAGTTGGGGTTGTCTGTGTCTGTGAGGAAAGGAGATATAATTGTGGCAATTGTGCAACATTTACAATTGCCAGGAATGCCATCAGAATCTTTGCAAATGGCTAAAATTCAATTGAAAACGAAGCAGCTTGAACATGAAAAGGAAATGAAACAGTTTGAATTATGATTAGAAGCAAAGGAAAAAGTAAAAGAAAAGAAGACTCTAGCAGAAGAAAGAGAGAAAGAGAGAACAAAGGGAGAAAGAGAGAGAAGAAAGGGAGAAAGAGAGAGAGTTTGAACTTCAGAGATTGGAAATGAAAATTCAAGGTCAACTTAAAATGGTGGAGATAGTAACGAAAAGTAGGAGTAGTGATGAGGACAGTGATGGAAAGCAATTCCTTTGTAGCCAAAGGCCTGCTGGAGATCTGTCTAAATATGTCCAAACAATGCCTAAATTTGACAAGAAGGATGTAGAAGCTGTTTTCATTTCATTTGAGAAAGTGGCTATACAGATGAAATGGCCATTGACCAGGTGAGTATTGTTGATCCAAACACATTTGGTAGGTAGAGCTAGTGAGTACAATTAGAGATGCACCTAATGAATCTGCCAAATTCACTCCATTTGAATTAGTTTTTGGACATAAGGTAAGAGGAAATTAATTAAGGAAAAATTGATGAGTCAGTTCAGAGACTATGTATTCAAGCTACGCGTCAAATGTTGGGGAAAGATTAAATAGAGCAAGTGAGTTAGCTAGACTGCATTTGAAAGTAGCACAGCATGTGATGAAAGAGGAAGCAGACAAGAAAACAAAATTTGCAATTTCACTAGAGAGATTCAAGTCTCAGTGTTACTTCCAATGGTAGGTGAACCTTTAAAGGCAAGCTTTAGTGGGCCATTACAAATTGACAGGAAATTGAGTGAGGTGAACTATTTAATAAGAATGCCAGATAGAAAGGAATCTCATAGAGTGTGTCATGTGAATATGCTCAAGAGGTATTTTGATAGGGAAGGAAAGCAAAAGGAGAATTTGTTAGTGGTTACAACACAGAGTGAAAAACCAAGTTCAGATGTTTCTGAATTGGACATTCCTCAAACTAAATTGGACAATGAAGAAGTTCTCAAAAACCGGGATACATTATGAGCTACTTTCCAGAGGAAAATCAAAATGGCGTGAAAGAATTATTACGATCATGAGGGGATATATGTAGGTTTAAGCTGGGACGAACTAATCTAATTATACATGATGTAAATATAGGAAATGTTGTTCCAATTAAGCAACATCCTTATAGGCTTAACCTTCTAAAGTTGGCACAGGTACAAAAAGAGATTGAAGGCATGATCAAAGACAAAATGAGTTGCAGTGACTATCATGAATTCACCTATCATAACGGTGCCAAAACCAGATGGTACCCAAAGATTATTTGTGGACTATTGCAAAGTCAATGCATTTACAAAATCTGATTCATGTCCTATTCCATGTTTGGAAGACTGATTTGAGAAGATGGGATAAGCAACTCATATTTCAATGTGGGACTTACTCAGAGGATACTGCCAGGTCCCTTTATCCGAAAGAGTGAAGGAAATTTCAGCTTTCATAACACTGAATGGACTATACCAGTTTAAAGTCATACCATTTGGTATGAAAAATGTGTCAACCACATTTCAAACATTAACCAATAAAGTTGTTTTGGGATTACTTGGAAGGAATATTTGGAGCATCTGGCAGAATTAGTTGATCAACTTCAGGAGTCGGGCCTGGTGATAAACTTGGCTAAGAGTGAGTTTGCAAAAGCCCAAGTCACGTTCTTGGGCCATATTATTGGACATGGAAATTTGGCCCCATGGGATATGAAAACAAAGGCTATTGGGGAGTTTCCCACACCATCGAGGAAGAGGAAAGTGCTTCAATTTCCAGGATTGAGTGGGAGTTTTTTTGGAAGTTCGTACCAAATTGTAGCAGTGTGGTTGCTCTACTGACTGACTCACTGAAGAAGTGCAGAAAGTTTTAGTGGGCAGAAGAATTTCAAAAGGCATTTGACAGCCTGAAAACTGTGTTAACTACTGTCACAGTGTTAGCCACATCTAATTCGCAAGTCATTCAAGCTGGCTATTGATGTGAGTGACGCAGGTATCGGTGCTGTACTCTTGTAAGAAGACAATGAGAAGATAAAAAGACCTTCTGGGTATTTTTCCAGAAAATTGAATAACCGGCAACAGAAATATTTCACGATTGAGAAGGAGATCTTGAGCTTGGTGTTGCAACATTTCAACATCTATATTGCCAGTAATTTGTCTGAGACAATTGTATATACTGATCATAACCCATTAAAATTTTGGAAAAATTTAAAAACAAAAATTCCAGGCTGTTTAGATGGACCTTATCATTGCAGCCATTTGATTTAAAAATTATACACATGACAGGATGAGAGAACGCAATTGCTGAACGCGTTGTCGTGTTGCAGGGTTACAGGGATAGGATAGGGAGTAGGTCTAGGTGGGATGCTCTTTGGAGGGGTCGGTGTGGAATCAATGGGTTGAATGGCCTGCTTCCACCTTGTTGGGATCCTATGAGCATGCTAATGCTACAAATGGTCTGGATCAACCTGAGATGATCGATCAAATTGAAATCTATTGCAAAGATTAGTCAGAGCGTTTGAGAACAATGCTTTCAGTCTTTCAAATATTTAACTGGGGGCACTGTAGCTTCTTCAATATTCGTCTGTTAACAGAGTAAAAGAGAGGATTTTATGGTTGACGCTATCAAAGCCTGTAAATAGGAAGAGGATGATGAAGGGAAATGATGCATCATAGTTACAGTCACCAACCAATTCCTTCATGAGGATTATTTGGGGGTTGTGACAGGATCTGAAAGCTGATTGAATTAGACTGAAACATGAAGTAGTGCGATAAAAAGGCATAGATTTGAGAGGTGACAACATATTCATGAATCTTTGGAGGAAA